GTAAATTAAATTAAACTCATTCCAATGTAACTCAATTAACCCCTTCTCAAGACACTGTTTGATGAATGATTCAAATACATTTTGCAAGCTTTTTTCACAAAGATTTACTAATAATTGCTTTACAACAAAGTAAAATTATTAACCCCATTTTGAATACCATAAGAAATCTGAGGCTTAGAAAATTTAATTAAACTTACATAAAATCAAGAAGTTAGTAACACAAAATAATTCTGAGCCCACTATTCTTATTACTGTAAGTACATCATCTTGCAAGAGAGAGGAGCTCTACAGCAATGTCTTAGTCTGTTTGGGCTGCTATAACAAAATACCATAAACTGGGTGGCTTATAAACAACAGAAATTTATTTCTCACAGTTCTGGAGGTTGGGAAGTCTAAAGTCAAGGCATCAGTAGATTCGGTGTCTGGCGTGAACTCAGGTTCTGGTTCATTTCTTGTTCCTAGCACCTGCTAACTATAACCTCTCATGGAGGAGGGGTGAGGGATCTCTCTGGGGTCTCTGGGAATAAGCACATTAATCCCATTCATTTGGTCTCTGCTCTCATAATCACATCCTAAAGTCCGCATTTTGGGGGATTAGGATCTCAACATATGAATTTATTTTTTTAAGCTTGATTTGTCATTTTATTTTTTAATTTTTTTAACATCTTTATTGGAGTATAATTGCCTTACAATGGTGTGTTAATTTCTGCTGTATAACAAAGTGAATCAGCTATACATATACATATATTCCCATATCCCCTCCCTCTTGCATCTCCCTCCTACCTTCCCCATCCCACCTCTCTAGGTGGACAAAAAGCACCGAGCTGATCTCCCTGTGCTATGCGGCTGCTTCCCACTAGCTAGCTATTTTACATTTGGTAGTGTATATATGTCAACGCCACTCTCTCACTTCGTCCCAGCTTACCCTTCACCCTACCCGTATCCTCAAGTCTATTATCTACATCTGCATCTTTATTCCTGTCATGACCCTAGGTTTTTCAGAACCATTTTCTTTTTTCTTTTTTTTTTTTAGATTCCATATATGTGTTAGCATACGGTAATTGTTTTTCTCTTTCTGACTTACTTCACTCTGTGTGACAGACTCTAGGTCCACCCACCTCACTACAAATAACTCAATTTCATTTCTTTTAATGGCTGAGTAATATTCCATTGTATATATGTGCCACATCTTCTTTATCCATTCATCTGTTTATGGACACTTAGGTTGCTTCCATGTCCTGGCTATTGTAAGTAGTGCTGTAATGAACATTGGGGTGCATGTGCCTTTTTTTTTCTTTTTCTTTTTGTGGTACACGGGTCCCTCACTGTTGTGGCCTCTCCCTTTGTGGAGCACAGGCTCCAGACGCGCAGGCTCAGAGGCCATGGCTCATGGGCCTAGCCGCTCCGCGGCACTTGGGATCTTCCCGGACTGGGGCAGGAACCCATGTCCCCTGCATCGGCAGGTGGACTCTCAACCACTGCGCCACCAGGGAAGCCCTCATGTGTCTTTTTAAATTATGGTTCTCTCAGGGTATATGTCCAGTAGTGGGATTGCTGGGTTGTATGGTAGTTCTATTTCTAGTTTTCTAAGGAACCTCTATACTGTTCTCCATAGTGGCTGTATCAATTTACATTCCCACCAGCAGAGCAACAGGGTTCCCTTTTCTCCACACCCTCTTCAGCATTTATTGTTTGTAGATTTTTTGATGATGGCCATTCTGACCGGTGTGAGATGATACATCATTGTAGTTTTGATTTGCATTTCTCTAATGATTAGTGATGTTGAGCATCCTTTCATGTGTTTGTTGGCAGTCTGTATATCTTCTCTGGAGAAATGTCTATTTAGGTCTTCTGCCCATTTTTGGACTGGGTTGTTTGTTTTTTGATATTGAGCTGCGTGAGCTGCTTGTATGTTTTGGAGATTAATCCTTTGTCAGTTGTTTCATTTGCAAATATTTTCTCCCATTCTGAGGGTTGTCTTTTCGTCTTGTTTATGGTTTCCTTTGCTGTGCAAAAGCATTTAAGTTTCATTAGGTCCCATTTGTTTATTTTTGTTTTTATTTCCATTTCTCTAGGAGGTGGGTCAAAAAGGATTTTGCTGTCATTTATGTCATAGCGTGTTCTGCCTATGTTTTCCTCTAAGAGTTTGACAGTGTCTGGCCTTACATTTAGGTCTTTAATCCATTTTAAGTTTATTTTTGTGTATGGTGTTAGGAAGTATTCTAACTTCACTTGTTTTCATGTAGCTGTCCAGTTTTCCCAGCACCAGTTATTGAAGAGACTATCTTTTCTCCATTGTATATTCTTGCCTCCTTTATCAAAGATAAGGTGACCATATGTGCGTGGGTTTATCTCTGGGCTTTCTATCCTGTTACATTCATCTATATTTCTATTTTTGTGCCAGTACCATAGTGTCTTGATTACTGTAGCTTTGTACTGTAGTCTGAAGTCCGGGAGCCTGAATCCTCCAGCTCCGTTTTTCATTCTCAAGATGGCTTTGGCTATTTGGGGTCTTTTGTTTTTCCATACAAATTATGAAATTTTTTGTTCTGGTTCTGTGAAAAATGCCATTGGTAGTTTGATATGGATTGCATTGAATCTGTAGATTGCTTTGGGTAGTAGAGTCATTTTCACAATGTTGATTCTTCCAATCCAAGAACATGGTATATCTCTCCATCTATTTGTATCATCTTTCATTTCTTTCATCAGTGTCTTATAGTTTTCTGCATACAGGTCTTTTATCTCCTTAGGCAGGTTTATTCCTAGGTATTTTATTCGTTTTGTTGCAGTGGTAAATGGGAGTGTTTCCTTAATTTCTCTTTCAGATTTTTCATCATGAGTGTATAGGAATGCAAGAGATTTCTCTGCATTAATTTTGTATCCTGCTACTTTACCAAATTCATTGATTAGCTCTAGTAGTTTTCTAGTAGCATCTTTAGGATTCTCTATGTATAGTACCATGTCATCTGCAAACAGTGACAGTTTTATTTCTTCTTTTCCGATTTGGATTCCTTTTATTTCTTTTTCTTCTCTGATTGCTGTGGCTAAAACTTCCAAAACTATGTTGAATAATAGTGGTGAGAGTGGGCGACCTTGTCTTGTTCCTGATCTTAGTGGAAGTGGTTTCAGTTTTTCACCATTGAGAACAATGTTGGCTGTGGGTTTGCCATATATGGCCTTTATTATGTTGAGGTACGTTCCCTCTATGCCTACTTTCTGGAAGGTTTTTATCATCAATGGGTGTTGAACTTTGTCAAAAGCTTTTTCTGCATCTATTGAGATGATCATATTGTTTTTATCCTTCAGTTTGTTAATACAGTGTTTCACATTGATTGATTTGCATATATTGAAGAATCCTTGCATTCCTGGGATAAACCCCACTTAATCATGGTGTGTGATCCTTTTAATCAACATATGAATTTTGAGGGGACATAAACATTCAGTCCATTGCAGGCAAGATCTATACATTAAATAAAATAGTTGATGCTAAAGCTAGAGGTGAAAGTTCACCTGATTCTTATGAACTGGTAGGTACACTTAGAAATAATCTAAGTGGAAAAATCTCTAAGCCTTTGAACAACCTCAATCTCTATTTTCAACCAGAAGCTAAAAGTGTATTATTTCTTGACAATCTAAACTATAATGATTTTAGTGCAAAATTGTATTTGTCATTTCTATATTTTATAGCAATTACAGTAAATGTAGCTATAAATTTCAATTGCAAATTTGAGCTGTGTTGAGGAGGTATCTATGTACCTATCATGTCCTCAGCGCCCTCCTGTGAGGAAAACAACTGTAGAGAATGTCTTCTATTAAAGCTGTTTTGTCATGTGACCTCTCTGTATGGGTCACAGCTGGCTGAACTAGAATGCCCAGAGAAAGAATTCACAGAAGCCTACTCCTGAGTGGATGATAAAATAGCCAGGTCACAGGAATTGCTATTTGGTCTTGGACCTATTGTGTTTTTTTTGTTTTGTTTGTTTGTTTTGTTTGTTGTTGTTGTTGTTTGCAGTAAATGGGCCTCTCACTGTTGTGGCCTCTCCTGTTGTGGAGAACAGGCTCTGGATGCACAGGCTCAGCAGCCATGGCCCGCGGGCCCAGCCGCTCTGCGGCATGTGGGATCTTCCCGGACCGGGGCACGAACCCATGTCCCCTGCATCTGCAAGCGGACTCTCAACCACTGCACCACCAGGGAAGCCCGGACCTATTGTTGAATCTTGAAAAATGTTCCAATTTTCCATAGACCTGATTTCATTGTGAAATTTGGAAAACAGTTTTCTATGCCTCCTCATTTCTCCATGCATACTTAAAGTAAATCCCTACTACTTGAAGGAGACAATTCATCAGAGCCTAACTAGCAATGTGTTCATCACTATTACCATAATTTTTAACCACTAATAGGAAGAACTTTTAAAATCTGCATTTAAAGCCGTGGTACACATGATCAAGCAATCCCACTCCTGGGCATATATCCAGAGAAAACTCTAATTCGAAAGATACATGCACCTCAATATTCACTGCAGCACTGTTTACAATAGCCAGGACACAGAAGCAACCTAAATGCCCATTGACAGATGAAAGGATAAAGAAGATGTGGTATGTACATATACAATGTAATACTACTCAGCCATAAAAAAGAATGAAATAATACCATTTGCAGCAACATGGATGGACCTAGAGATTATCATACTAACTGAAGTAAGTCAGAAAGAGAAAGACAAATACCATATATCACTTATATGTGGAATCTAAAATATGACACAAAAGAACTTATTTACAAAACAGAAACAGACCCACAGACATAGAGAACAGACTTATGGTTGTCAAGGGAAATGGTGGTGGGAGAGGGATGGATTGGGAGTTTGGTATTAGCAGATACAAACTATTACATATAGAATGGGGGTAAACAACAAGGTCCTACTGTATGGCACAGGGAACTATATTCAATATCTTGTAATAGAACATAGTGGGAAAGAAAATAATAAATAAATAAAGCCATGGCAACAACAATAAAAAAATACTCCTAAAAATAGCTTAGCAATTTTATATGGTCTGTAAGTCTACCATAAATAATCAGTAAAAAACTTTCCATACTATAGGAAAGTCCTGAGAACAACTAGGTTATCACTTCTCTCGCTGTGTGATCTGAAACAGAATGGGTTTAAGTCTGGTTCTGCTCTTACTAAACAGGTACCTTGAATAAGTTAGTTTACCTGTCTGATCCCAAATGTTCTCACCTTTAAAATGGGCAAAAATTAGTTCTTATCTCATAGGATTATTATAGGGTGAAAGAGATAAGATCTGTAAAGCAGTGAAAACAACTCTTAGAACATAGTTAATACATTTTTTTTTCTTTTCTTTTGAACTTCTTAGTCTCTAGGACTGGCTACTAAGCAACTACAGCCACCACGAACAACAAATGTGTTCTCTGACATATCTCACTGGAGTCTTCATTCTGAAACACATTAAAAAATGGTCCCCTTTCCCTGAATTCTCCAATTCTTCACCACTTCCCCTCCCCGCCACGTCTCCACATTCCTAAAGTGAGCTGCAGGACCAGTGTATGGAGAAAAGCGTGAATGTAAAAGGTACAGTCTGATAGAAAGGCTCTTCCTCCCTCCCCTGGATAGTGGCAGGGATTTATGTACTCAAAAGATGAGGCAACAGGAAGTTAGATTAGGATATGCCCATTTCATCACAGGATCATTCAGTCAGTTTCTGAAATTTCCTGGTCTCTGCATGTACCCTATTTCTAGATCCACAACCATGGTTCCTTTCAAATGTGTACAAAATGTCATAGCAATAAATAAAAACCCAACTGCCCCTGGCTGCCATTTCTACCTAAGGGACATGGTTAGATATAGGAAATGAAACTCTGGCTGACAGGCGGTCAAAGGATCATTTATTTTCATTCTCTGCACATAAAAGAAAGAGCTTATGAACCTATGAAACATGCCAATATGTACATTAAAATAAAATCTTCCCCATTAGAAGTTTGACTTTCAAAGCAATGTAAAGGTCATGTATCAAAATTAAGCAGGTGCAAAGAATCTCAAGACATCAACAATTCAACTCTAGAAACCCGAAATGGTTCAATAAAATGAAATATCCATATTTTATTCACCAAGTGAAAAATATTTTTGACTCACCACAGAAAATGGATGATTGACAAGCCAGCTAACAAGTGAAGCCTGAGACTTGAAGAAGCAAGTCAAATTACCTTGAGTTATAAGTGATGTGGAATGAAAAACCACAAGTTAGTCTTAGGAAACAGATGCGGGGGTGGAATTTAGCCAGTTTCTTAATGTAGTAGAAACACCTTCTTGGTGGGGCATAAGTAAGGGGCAGAGTGAGGAAATCTGTACAGACTTCAGAGTTAGAAACCAGGTACATTTTCTTTGGCCTGGTAAAATGTGATAGGGTGATTTTTTAAAAATTACTAATCTCCTATCAAAGGAATGAAAGATGATTCTTCACACACCTCTGCCCCCTAAAAAGAAGTCCATTAGACCTTTCTGCTCACTGCTAAGGAGCTAGTTAAACATTTTTTTGTTGTTAAAGACAAAAAACGTTGGTAAGACATGGTTGAAAGTAGAACTACTTTGGAGAAAACTCCCACTAAGACCTCTATGTGGAAAGATCTGGTCCATGGATCTCATCAAATATTTATACAAGTCAAGTCAGTAATAATAAAGAAATAAAGCAATAATAATATAAAATAAAAACACCTACAAAGCACTTACTATGTGCTAGATATGGTTCTAAGTGTCACACATACACTAATTCAGTTAATCCTTACAACACCTTTATGAGATAGGTGTCTTTTATGTATTTGCAATGTAAAGGTGGGGAAACTGAAATACAGAAAGGCTAAACAACTTGACCAAGCCGTACAGCTAGTAAGTGGTGGAGCTTGGATTTAAACTTGGACAATCTGATTTTTGGAGTTGGGAGGTGAACCACAAATGTAGGAAAAGCAACAGTGAAAGAATGATGACACAGATGCTCAGTTGTATTGTTGGGAAACAGCAGGGAGTAGTGGAGACTAGCAATTGGAGAAGAATCCCATCTGTGAATCAAATTCAATCCTTAGATCACTGGTTTGCAGCCTTAGGCCTTACGAAGACAAAGACTGCATTGCCGAAACAGGACATGGTAGAAGCTGTAGCCTTGAGAATTGAGCAGGGTAGTAGTTCAAAGCCTCGTGGTAGCTTGATTCCCAAAGACTGAGGAGCTGGATAAAAGTGGGTTTTGTGGAGTGGCATTCACTGGCCTATTTATTCATGGCATCATGAAAAGGACAGGATCTAGGACATCGACAGCTACATGAATTCCTGTGGAAATGGAGACAAATAGAGCCTTGGCAAAAGTTCCTAGAACAGCACTTGGTTCTTGAGAAAGGATGCTACCTGCAGAGCCAGACACTTTCAAAAATATCTTACGATCAGACAAAAATCAATGCTCGTGGTGATGTCCAGAAACGGAGAGCCAGGGATTGCTCTTAATTTTCCGGGATTGTGTAAATCACAGGTTTGGACTAACCCAAGACATAGGGCAGGACTTGTGAAAAATGAGTGATACTAGACTTCATCCTTGGACAGTGAAAAATAGAAAAAAAAAATCCAGTAGGGCAAGACCTTGTCTGCCTGCTTTTCCAAGAATATCCCCATAATTGAACACGTCTGGCATATAATGGCCGTTAAATGATTATTTGTTGAATAAATAAACCAGATTTAATTTCACCTAAAAAAAGGCTCTGTGATATTTCTTACATCTCAAGTTTTACAGCAATTCTTCCTCTACTTATTGCCAATTTATAAATTATTTTTAAGCTGAAAGGGACTTCTGGAATTAACCCTATATTTTATGGATGAGGAAACTGAATGACCCAAGAACTCAGCCAGTTAGTAGGGGAGCTAAGACTAAAGACTCACCCAATCCTTCCTCACTCTCACAATATCACTATATACTTTCCTTCTCAGGAGATCTCATGGGATCAAAATAAAACTGCTGGTTGAGTCACAAAACTTCAGACAATTACTGTCCTTTTGCATTACATACTTTCCACTCACCCACACTACTGCAGTCATATAAAAGTAATTTCCACTTTCTATACATGTCCTTTGTGGCCTCACCTTCAACTTTCACACATGCCATTTACTTCTACCCAGAATGCTTTCCCACACTACTCCTTTATAGGAAAAACTCCCTCTCGGAGCTCAAACTTTTCTCACCATGGAGTCTTCCTTAACTACATAATTCTTTCATTGAAAGTTTACCCAATTACAACCGAGAGCCACCAGCTGGCCAAAGGGCCCTCCCCACGTTCTAAGAGGCCATTAGGGTCACTCACTCAAAACTACGTTAAGTGAAACAACTTTTCTGTATAGATAATTCATTCAGTTGTTTTTTGGGGTTTTTTTGCTTGTAATTCAGTAAGCAGACATTTCAGAGCACAAGTCTCTTACCAATAAATTCTAGTGAATCCATGTTTTGTTTATTTTTAACTCACTTGGGTGGGGCTAATCATTTTTTTTTTCCTTGACTGAAGTTTTAGTGTTTTAGCCTTTTCTTACTCAGAGGTATGAGAACTCTTCCTCCCCAGTTGGTTTTAAAGGAAACTTCTGGAGACAAGAAGAAAGCCACAGAAGTGGAGGTGCTAAAATATAAAATCGCAGTTAGAAGTCACATCACCATCATGGTAGCGTAAGATGGCCCGCATTGTTTGGTCCCCACCTCAAAGGAGCAGTGTGACTCCAGCTGTGACACCATCTCCCAAGGCGGTACAGCTTGGAGCCAAGAAAGATATTCCTCAGCCTGTGATTTATCCTGTAAAGGAAAAGGAGGGCATGTGAGTAAGCACCCAACTTCCCCAGCTGTGTGGGAAGCTACCAAAGGAGGCCGTCTCTCTCTCTTGTCCTGTCTAGAGTGCTAAATCCAGAGCTCCATTATGGGGGCGGGGGGCAGAAAGAGTCTGGGAGAGCAGCACAGAGGAATCTCAGAGACTTCAGCTGTCAGGTAGAGGGAAAATGGGAAGCTAGCGGCAAGTTTTGAGCATAGAAATGACACGACTGCTAAGAAGAAACTCACAGTGGGCAAGAGAACAGAAGAGAGAACAGTTAGGAAGCTACTGCAATAATCCTCAAGCAATAGCTGTTTGTTGCCTGGTTTATAATGATAGCAGTGGTGACAATGAGAAATGGTCAGATTCTGGATATTCTCTGAAGGCAAGGCTAAGAGGCAATGCTAAATGATTACATATAGCATATCAGAGAAAACAGCTTCAAGAATGACTCCAAGGCTTTGGGCTGGAGCGAGTGGTATGATGGAGATGTCACAAGTAGCCCGTGGAAGAAGTCTTGGGGCAAAAATCAAGTGCTCAGCTTTGGACATATTACATTTAAAATGATTATTAGATCTTTAAGTTGAAATGTCAAATAGGCGGTTAGATATGAGTCTGGATTTAGGGGAAGTATCCAGGTTATAGCTACAAATTGTTTAGTCATCAGTGTACAGATTGTTTTTAAATCCATCAGAGTTGTTAAGACCTTGAGCACAGAGAGAAAAGAAAGTTCAAGTGTAAGTTCTAGAGCACTACTACGTTAAGTTTGGTAAGATGAGGCAGAACCAGCAAAAGAAATGGAAAATGAAGGGTCACTGAGATAAGAGAAAAACCAGAAGTATGCAGTGTCCTAGAGGCCGAGAGAAAAAAGAGCTTCAAGAAGAAGGGAGTAATCAATGGTACCAGTGCTGAAGATACATTAATAAGCTGAGTACTGAAAACTGACCATTGGATTTAGAAACCTAGAAATCATTGGCAGAGGTTGGGTGGAATGATGGAGGCAAAAACCTATTGCAGTGGATTCAAGAGAGACTGGGAGGAGAGACACAAAATATAGAATAATATTTCAGAGGACTTTTCTCCAAAGGGAAGTGGAGGAATGGGGCAGTAATTTGAGAGTGAATGGGGTCAGGACAAAGTTTTTCGTAATCTAAAGAATTAACTGCATGAATATTGGTGAAAGGTGTTGCTTTGAATTTATACAGAAATTAAAATTTCCCTTGATAATTAAGAGTTAATTTTTATCTGATTCATCGTGAATAGCTATGTTTAAAATTGGCCTACACTTTCTTAACAAGAAGACAAAGTTGTGGAATCAGTTCAGTTTAGGGATGCAGAGTAGTGTTAACATAATTCTAATTGGATAAAGTCCTCAATTAAATATTTCCTTTAATATTTTAACTTGAATGTAAAGAAATTATTATTGTTTCCTTTGATCATTACAGATTATTCGATTTTTTTTAAACTTAGTGTAGAGTCTAGAGTAGATGTAAACACCACAGAACATAAAACTGGGACAATAAGCAGAGGATAAAAGGTTAATACCTCTAACAATATGAACACATGTACTGAAAGTGCTATAGAATTTACTGAGACATATTAATCAGTAACTTCTATATTTTTCATGTTAACTTTTATGAGGAAATGATTCTTGGCTTATATCAAAAATGACTATGAATTAATTTTAATTATATTGAGTTATATATTAAGGTGTGAGAATAGAAACATTCAAAATTGCTGTGGTGTGCAGGCTGCTCTAGCATATGAATGGTATGCAACTGAATTTATGAATTATCTTAGTAGAATAAATGGAATTCTCAGTTCTGAATTTGACTGACTTCTGTGATGTGTTTCTTAAGAATGTACATGTCGGTATGGTATGTGGCAGACACCAATGGGCTGTTTGCCAAAATCATTCTTCCTTTAATTTTAGTGCCAGAATCCCCCAAATTTAGCTAAGCACACAGCAGTTCAAAATGTAGACATTTTCCCTCTCTTCGTGCAGCTAGGTGTGGCCATGTGACTGAGAGCTGGTCTGTGTGAAAGTGATATGAGGCATCTTCTAGGAAGCGTTCTTGAAGAGAGGGTGCTTGCCTTGATTTATCCGTTTCTACTTTCTGACTGGACTGTAGCCCTACTGGACCATCCAGTAAACTTGAGAATGCTAACTATGCATAAGAAAGGTAGCAAGGAGATAGAAGCCCAGATTTTTCCCTAACCCTATGGAATGCCATTCAGTCCTATGCTGTCTCTTCCAAATTTCTCAAATGCAAGAGAGAAATATACTGTTCAAGTCACTATTAGTTGATGCTTCTCTCTTGACCATGTTACATGGGATAATATAGGCAGGCCCAGAAATTAATAGCTTTGAATGGTGTGAAGTAAAAATAGGGGACAGCAGTCCCAGGAATAATGACTGAGAAACTTTTTAGAAAGAGAAATGATGACTACACAGATTCATATGTGGGATAATTGTCTGAAAGAATCTCTTTCTCTCTGGTTTTATCTAAGATGTTTATTTATTAAAGCAATGACTAGAAAGGCATCTGTGCTGTCTTAAGGCCCGTTCATGACCACCCATCTCCAAATAAGAACAAATGCTCAGGCTTCCCTAGTGGCGCAGTGATTAAGAATCCACCTGCCAATGCAGGGGACACGGGTTCGAGCCCTGGTCCGGGAAAATCCCACACGCTGCAGAGCAACTAAGCCTGTGCGCCATAACTACTGAGCCTGTGCTCCTAGAGCCTGTGCTCTGCAACAAGAGAAGACATTGCAATGAGAAGCCTGTGCACCGCAAGGAAGAGTAGCCCCCTCTCGTCACAACTAGAGAAAGCCGGTGCGGAGCAACGAAGACCCAAGGCAGCCGATAAATAAATAAATTAATTAAATAAATCTATTATTAAAAAAAAAAGAACAAATGCTTTATGAATATCCTTGTACCCTGCATGCAAAACATACCTTTGTCCCTTACTAACGGAGTTCAAGCGCCCAAACAAAAGTGAAACCATGAATATTGGTTGAGCAAGAGGATAGATCGTTAGCTGTAGTGATAATTGTCTTGAAAGAAATTTATTCACAGTATATTAGAGAATACTATCAGGCTACTATAAGAAGAAGAAAGAATTTAATAACTCTTACTAAGAGAAATATCTTTGATAAAAGAGACAAAAGATAGGAAATATGATCCAAGAAGGAAACTGATGATAAGTTTCCACAAAGAAAAACTACTTGTCATATAATGCTTTTTGAACCACATAAATAAAAAGGGACGCCAAATCAAGATTTTTCTATAACTTCCAAAGCCAATATTTTTTTGTCTTTTCTTCTTTTATTGTTTTTATTCAAAAGTAAAGATGTTCCTCTTATGGTAGTGAGCACTGTGGGTGGAACAGTGTTAATTCTGGCAACTTTGTGTGAACTTGAGAACATGAAAGGAAATAGAATAATTGTCCACATTTGACTCTATTTCACTCCCACTTGAGTGGTGAAAGAGGCAAGGGGTGGGGAGGGGGGCATGGATGTGAGGGTATATAGCCAAATTTCTGCTTCTGCATTTCAGGCATAGATCACAAGAACCCGGTTTTACTTCCATCAGTTGGAAGCGTAAAATACAAGTATATACTAAGAGAGGTGACTACCACAGGCACAGACCTAATACAATTAAGCATAATCTATAAGTATTATTGGATCCAGTAGAATGAGCAGCTATGCTACTGGAAGATGAGGCTGGTAGGAAGACCCTGTAACAGGAATACGCAAAGGCACTAAGGAAGATGCACAGACGGTAACTCTAATAACAACAAAACACAAACCCAGTTCAGTTTCTGACTAGATGAACTCAATCCCCATGCAAAAGGCTTAGCAAAGTAAGAGGTATAACAATTTCCAGGCTTTTATTCCCAGATTCCACTTACCTCAGTCTCTACATTCCTACACAAGATTAATACAATGCATGTAAAACCTAAAAGGTACATGAAGAATCAATTAAAAAAAAAATACTGTCAAGAGACAAAGTAATCAACAAAACCAAACTCAGATATGACTGAGATGTCTTAGACAGGGAATTAAAAACAACTATGCTTAAAATACAAACATGGGAAAGTTGGACAGCGTGCATGAACACATGGTAATTTCAGCAGAGATACAGAAACTATAAGAAAAAATTGAAAGGAAATGCTATAAGTAAAAAATACAGTAGCAGATGAGGATTCTGTCAACAGGTTCACTGGCAGATTTAACACGACTAAGGGAAGAAGAAGTGAACTTTAAAAGAGGTCAACAGAAATCAGCCAAAGTGAAACAAAGAGAAAAGGTGAATTTGTTTTTAAAAACAGAATCACAAAGGAAATTAAAGAAGATTTTAAATTGAATGAAAATGAAAACACAGCCTATCAAATTTTGGGATGACTGGAAAGTAGTGCTTAAGGGAAATTCATAGCACTAAACACTCATATTAGAAAAGAAGGAAAATTTCAAATCATTGATCCAAGTTTCCAATCTAAGAAAACTAGAAAAAGGAGAGTTCAGATAATCACAAACCAAGCATAAGGAAGGAAATAATAAAAAGAGCAGAAATCAAAGGAATTGAGGACAACAACAAAAGTAATAAATGAAACCAAGTGCAGTCAGCAGGATTCAACAGCCAGCAGCTTCCCTGGTACCTCCCTTAGGTGGTTGTGTCATGAAGTACCTCCAGTGAGACACTTCCTCATGAACAGCTTTCCCTGGAACCCTAGATTCAGATTTCCAGCAAGTTCCACCTGTGCAGTACCCCAGTGAGTTCTCAGCCATATACTGACCCATAACTGTGTCTTCAACAAAGTGCACCTCAGCCCTACAGGTAGTGGCTGCTCCTTATATATGCTATTCTTATCGTTTTTAGAGCTTTACTTTATACTATCTAATCTCTCCTTACTCGAATCCCCTGTTATAGTCGACAATTCTTTATATTTAACTTTCCCTGTTCAAATAACTAATCACTGTGTGG